GGCGGGCGGCCTGGCAGGTTCATTTACGCTTGTTAGGACGTCCCAGGGGGTTGTCTTTCTCTTAGAATGGAGTGTTTATTTTTTAATTGATGTGCTGTTTCATTTAGCGCTTGTATGGAACTCACGCTGGGGCTGTAATTACTGTAATCTCGGGAACAAGCATTTCAGTTAGCCAGGAGGGTGGCAACAGCCTCTCTCTCCCTCTCTCTCTCTTTCCCCCTCCCTCTCTCTTTCCCCCTCCCTTCCTCCCTCCTCCCTTCCTCCCTCCTCCCTTTCTCCTACCTCTCCTCTGTTTCTTCTCTTTCACTCTGTTTCCAGATTTTCCCTGTTTGTCAGGTTTCATAGCAGGAACGAGCACGATTAGAAAGCTAAAGTTATTGAGGGCGTGGGGACGGAGGCACTAAACGAAGGCACGTTTGAGGCCAGGCCAGTTTTTTTGGGGGGTGGGGGTGATCCGTTTGAAAGCAACTCTGGCCATGAAACAAATAACTAGCAGCAAGGGTAAACTGCATAGAACCTGTGTCCTCCTGCCCCTGGGCTCTCTAGCTTGGTTTAGCAACCGCATTCTAAAAAGCCAGGCAGAACCTCCCTCCGCCCCCAACCCCATCCCTGGTTTGGGGCAAGTTCTGTATGTTCACCACAAATTCTAGGCATATCCACAAGGCTGTAGTTGTACCCCCATCATCTTTTTCTTTTTTTTTTTTTCTTTTTAACGAAGTCTAGTTAGGACCTATTCATACTAGGGAAAAAAGCCTCCCAAAACCAAAACACTTCCTTCCCACTTATGTTTTGGACAAACTAACTCCAAAGGAATCAGAAATTCAAAGGCTTCAGAAATATTAGCTGATACGGCAGAAAACGGTCTCTAGTTCTCAAAAATGCAAAGAATCGACCGTTACTTGGTCTTCTATGGGATTTGTTTCCCTTCTCCTTCTAATTGGAATTCCATGGTTTGTTGAATGTAGAAAGTCACCTCTCTTCTGTGGGTGCCTTGTCCATAGAGGACCATCCATCAGAATATTCAACTGCAGAGTGACATCAGGTAAAACCTGGAGACAAGAGTTCTGAGCACAATAATGGAGGCAAGTCCCCGTTCTGAGGACCAGCCTAGGCCCTGCCTCACTGAGACCACAGATAGAAGGGGCTCGCTTCCAAAAGCAACATCGAGGGTGGAAAGTTTCTTTTGATTTTCTTCAGCAGGAAATGTCAAATAGTGGAGTTTAGAATTCCACTGTATAAATTTCCTAGAATTGGGTAAAAACAAACTGACATTTGAAAATTGAGGCGGAAAAGAGTTGATTTTGGCTTTTCATTGGCATTGAATTTTTTTCTTTTTTCTCTTTTGAGACAAGATGAAAGCTTTGATGATGCGGACTGTGGCAAGTTTGGGGAAGTGTATTAAGCTTGCAGGAGAAAAGCAGACAAAAAGTTCAGAGCCTTCAAAAATCATGTTATAAGCTCTTTGGGGTGAGATTAAAACCATTTACATAAAATCATTAAACATTTACTTTTAATTGAGGGGAAATAAGAATAGCATTTACATTTTAGTATTAAATTAAATGGCAACTTGACAATCTTTGAGAGCAGAAGAGACTTAGGAAGCCAATTAGTCTGTAAAAGGCAATGATGGGTCAGCGAAAAGAAACCAGAATCATTTATCCACATCGCTGGCTAAATAATGATTTTTTCTTTTGTATGTAAAGCAGCTGTTTTTTAAGGGAGGGGAAATAGCTTAAGTGGTGACATAAATAATGCAGGAAACTTTCTAGAGGGATTTCTGAACAGATGTCTTGTTACTGAATAGCCCATGAGCACAATAATATAAACAAGTTGAAGGCATGACTCTAACTCAAGGGAGGGGATATTTTGCCAAACATCGGATACCTAGCTGGATAGGAGACCATCAGTATATTAAATGTCACCAACTTAAGAAACTTTGGGGAAATTACGTTTCAGTGGATTTTAATTTAAAAGTCTAACCTAAAATTCTTGATACAAGTGAGTCTATTTATTTATTTATTTTTAATGGAGGTGCTGTGGATGGAACCCAGATCTCGTGCATGCTAAGCATGCGCTCTGCCACTGAGCTGTGCCCTCCCCATGAGCGGGTCTAACATGTACCAATAGAATGACGCTTTGCAGAGGCTGAATAGACAACCCTTCAGTAACTAACACAATTCCTCGGGCATTAAATGAAAGCTTCTTTTGGGGAAACGATCAAAGTCTATATTGTTAGACAATATAAAACTCTGTCGAGTAATATTGGAATTTCTTGGTGTTTCAGAATCTGTCTTTGGAAGAATTATGTCTTGAGTCACCCACCATAGATGGAAAGAAAGGTAAAGGATAACAGGTCTTGCTTCAATCTCTGTTAGAATTAAAATGCGGGAGATTATTTTTATGTTCTTCCATATTAATATTCAGCTCCACGAGAGGTCTTGCGTTTTCTCCACCACTAGGAAGAGGCTCAGTCTGCGGTCAACAAGGCGCGTGGCGGAGGGATGGAGGCACCTGCGCAGGTCTGTGCCGCTGACCGCTGGCCGGGAGGGATTCCCACCCTACGTGGAGCTGCCATTTTGGAAAATGGAAGCCTCGCTGTCATTTAACTTTATAACGATTGTAAAATATGTTTTAAAAAAATCATTGATTTCCCCTACCTCATTGACACTGAAATATGGGCCAGATGCTGCAACTCTCACGACACAGGGTGCCTTGTGCATTGGTTTGGGAACCATGAGGTGAATGAAGACCTCTAAGGAAGACTGACTTAGCCAGGGAGGACACGGCTGAGCTCGCGCGCCGGCACAGCCGGGATCGGAGGCCGCCTTCGGGTCCCTCCGCGCAGCGGCGTGAGGCCTGCAGGCCTGCTCTGGGCTCTTGGCTTCCCTTTGGGCTGCGTGGGGCCTCCCGCGGCTGAATCACCACGTTTCACAGGACAGCAGCCAAAGCAGGCGGAGTGGTGGGACCTCGCCCTGGGCAGCTCGCCTCCTGCAGGAGAAAATCCTTGCCCTCGGGTCACACTGGTCTGGACCTGTCACACCCCAGCTGCAGGGTCGGCTGGCGGGGGAGGCTCTGACGGCAGCTGAGATGGGCGGTGGGCGGTCCGGGCGCCTTGGCGCGCAGGGCAGACACACAGCAGGCGGCGGTACGTTACTGTTTGAGATTAACTTTCAAACGGCGTCATTTACCAACATGCCTCGTCTTCCAGAGTATTTTGTTCAGGGCTATGAATTAAGTATGATCTAGATCCAAGAAAACCTTGATATCCTCATTTTTCCCCCTTTTGAAGTTCTCTGTACAGTGGTGTGAATTAAATGTCAGTTTACGACTTGTTTTATTTATAATGTGTGTAAACTGTGTAGTGTAACTCAGTTCCTTTTTGTTAAGCCCCTCCCCGCCCTTTTGGAGACTTCCTTAAAAACATCGATGTGATTCTGGAACTTGAGTATTTTTTCCTTTCTTTCTTTCTTCTTTTTAGTCTTATATCGTGTAACTTTTTTGGGTATTGACACACTTAAATATAATGGAGGAGAAACTGTATTGAATCTCATCTCTGAAGGGCTTATGGATGTGAAAGAAGCTTTGTATCAAAAACATTTTGGTGCCAGGGTTTACTTCTGGTAACACTGATCCATTTAAGATGGTGGTCTGAAACGATAATCAAATTTACATTAGTGATACAGATAATAATTACCAGGGTGCTGAGGGCATGGAGGTGGTGGAGATGACAGTGACACGTCTTTCCACTTTGTCTTTGACCAGATCCAGGTGAACAGATATAATTTTTATTCAACTGGCGACAGCACTTGACTTATTTTTCTGGTGTGTGTCTTGCTTGCTCTCAGGAACAAGTGTGCTTATGTAGGCGTAACCTTACAGTTTATAATATGTATAATAATTCATACAATAAAATAAGAAACAATGGATGCGTTAATGTGTCTTTTAGAATAATATCACACCATTAATCTGAATGACTGATCTGCTTTTTCAAAACACAGTCCAGTAGAGTGCAGTTTGAAAAACCCTCGTCTAGAATGTGTTCAACACACACTATTAAGTGAAACAAAGCAGGCTATGAAACTGTATGGTGTGAGCCCAGCTGTTACTATGCATGAAGAGAAAAAAGACTAGAAGGAAGCGCGTCAGAATGTTGCCTAGAGTTATGTTTGAGTTGAAGTGAGTAGGAGTGATTTTGCTTTTCTTTCTTTTTTATAATGATCTGAATTTTATACTGAGAAAAAATTATCTTGAAACAACCCTGGATTTAGCATTTATTATGTGTCATTTTCTTCTGTTCTTTATTTTATGGATTTTGTCTTTTCTCCTTACATGGACCAAAATGACCGAAGAGCGAGGACCAGGCCTTTGCACTCT